TTCTATTTCTATTATTTCCACTCTTCCCTTTATTATTCTATTCTATTTCTATTCTATTCTTTCCACTCTTCTCTTTATTATTCTATTCTATTCTATTCTATTCTATTCTATTCCATTCCATTCCATTCCATTCCATTCCATTCCACTGATTGGATACCTGAGCGTTGCTCCATGACTCTCTCTGATTGGTCCCTCTCTTTTGCATGCAGACGATGTCCACCTGGGGAGCGAGATACCTCCGAAACTCGAATGCTTTGATGGCCCAGTTTCACTCGACAGCAGCTTCTCCGAATCTGCACACATATCTGCCAAGAGCAAATGTGAAGACATGCAGGAGGAAGCCACCAAGTCGGAACCCACCACCCCTAAAACCAGCAGGTCTGGCCTCATCGGAGGGACCTCTCAAGGACGTTCACCCAAGAGCTCCAGGAACCGGGCTGAGAAGTGTGCTGGGGTCCACATCTCAGGGCCTTTCTCGGTCACCGTCCCCTTCCACATCACCTCCAACCTCACTTTGTCCCGGCTGACCAGAGGTCTGGAGTGTCCAGCACTGGGCCTCTGCAACTTGGAGACTCCAGAGGTCGTTTCCTCCTCCAACGGAGAAGATTTTCCCAAGGTGGCAGAAGACAATGAGATGTCTGCCCTCACTGCAAACAAGGAAGCAGATGAAGGTCAGTGTTGATATTTGCCCACATTCCAACTAACGAACTCCAAACCAAGAAACTCCGAGACAAACATTTCCCCAAAGTTCCATTTTATTAGAGTTGTCCTATTGGAATGTCTGGGAAAACCCAAATATGAGAGTTCCGGGTTCTCCCTTTCCAAAGGAGAAATTAAAAATCCATCTCCTGTGTCCACCAGTCCATCACATGGCCCAAACAAATCTTCGTGAAGAAGTGGTCTTCAGCAGGTTCTGACCAGTTCTGGAGAACCGCTAGTGGAAATTTTGAGTAATTCGGAGAACCGGCCAATACTACCTCTGACTGGCCCTGCCCCCATCTCTTCTCTGCCTCCCATTGAGTCCCAGTTGATCAGCATCCTTTGGTTGCCCTGCACAGGGAACGGAGCTGAAAAGCAGGTTAGTGGGGTGGGGAGGGAAGGGGGATTTTATAGTATCCTTCCCCTGCTACACCCACCAAGCCACGCCCACAGAACCAGTAGTAAAAAAAAAATTGAATCCCACCACTGGAGAAATCCCTGCAGTCACTCCCCTCCAGGTACAGGGCAACATGTCCTTGACTCTCTGAGGAAAGAATGTTGTTGTGTCTAATCTTCTGCCTCTCTATGAAATCCCCCCTCCCAAATTCCCAGGCACTGAATGTGGCAGCCTCGGAACTTGCAAGTAAAAAATAGCTTCCAAGGCTGACAATGTTTGTATTGTAATCAAGAATGATCATAATAGAACAGAACTACAGAACAGAATAACCGGGGTGGAAGGGATTTTGGAGGGCGTCTAGTCCAACCTCCTCTGAACAGGAGATCCTATACCATTCAGGACAAATGACTGAGGCCTCTTCTTGAAGACCTCCAGTGATGGAACACCCACAACTTCTAGAGACAAGTAGTTCCACTAATTAATTGATCTCATTGTCAGGAAACTCCTCCTTCATTCTAGATTGGATCTCTCCTTGATTAGTTTCCATCTATTGTTTCTCGTCCTGCATTCTGGTGCCTTGGAGAATAGGTTGAAGAAGGGGTCCAAAGCACCAGAAAGCGAGACAAGAAGCCATGGATGGAAACTAATCAAAGAGAGAACCAACGTAGAACTAAGGAGGAATTTCCCGACAGCGAGAACAATTAACCAGCTAAATTGTTAAAGTAAACCGTTATCAAGGGCAGGAAGTAATGATTCCAAAAGCAGCAGTCAAGACACCTTTGGTTGTGGCTCCAGCCCTTTGCACTTCCTTCAAATATCAAGATATCAAAATTAGGGTGCTAGCTCAATATTAAGAGGAAGCCAGTTCCTTAATCAATGTAGCCACTTAACCTAGTGAATTGCACATTCCTGCTACTTGTCTACGGGGATTCTAGTTATCCAGATCCAGGTCAATTGTCTCACTTAGCAGCAGAAATTTTAGGCTCAACTGTAGTCATAAGTTGAGGGTCGCCTGTATTTGTACTCAGCAAGGACCTAGTCCCAGGGGTGTGGCTATTAGCGGTTCGCACCGGTTTGGGCGAACCGGATGTTAATTTTACATCTGGTTCGCCGAACCGGTAGTTGCAATGACTGGCTGGCCCCGCCCACCCTGCCCCTCGCCTCCCCTCCCAGGAGTCTCCACACAGCCTGTTTTGGATCCCGGGTAAGTACAGGGCCTGCACAGAGGCTCTGGGAGGGCGAAAAACGGGCCTCCCGGAGGCTCCAGAAGACCAGAAATGGATATGTTTCTGAGAGGCTCGGGGAAAGCCTCCGGAGCCCAGGGAGGGTGAAAAATGCACCTCCCAGAAGTTCTACAGACCCCCGGAGCCTGTGGAGGCTGTTTTTGCCCATCCAGAGACTCGAGAAGCCTGGGCAGGGTTGAAAAGGCCCCACCCCCACCCTGCCCTGGTGCAGGAGGCCGACTAGGCCACGCCCACCCAGCAACCAGGCAGAAAACTGGTTGCTACTTTTTTTGACACACACCCCCCGCCCCGCCGCCTAGTCCCTACTGCGAAACCTGGACTGAGTTTTTCTTTTTGCTCGCGCACATTTCAGGAACAAACTTCGAAGCTGAAATGGAGAGCCGGATGTCTATGGAAGTTGAGGATTCCTTCTCGTTCCTGGACAGCCCCGACGGCTGGATTGACAACGTGATGGAAGAAGAACAGCTGCAGACAGATCCCGGGAAAGGCCCCGAGGTTCCCCCACGTGGCTTGGACACCTTCCCAAGCATGGAAGATGATTTGGGAAGTGGGTTTATGAACGAGATGATCGCAGCTGGGATGGAGGTGAGTGCCTTAATTTGGCCCTCTCTCTCTATCCCCGACTTGAACCACAGGAGGGAGAGCATCGTGCAGAAGAAAGAGTTCTCTTTGGACACCTTCTTCTTGCTTTGTATCTTGGTGGTAGCTTTCCTTCTTGTTGCTTTCCTCCTCCTGTTTTCCACACAACAACAACAACCCTGTGAATTGGCTTGGGCTGAGAGAAAATGACTGGCCCAAAGCCTCCCAGTCAGCTTTCATGCCTGGGGCAGAACTAGAACTCACCGTCACCTGGTGATTGGCCCAAAGTCACAGAGCTGGTTTTCATGCCTAAGGTAGAACTAGAACTTACAGTTGCCTGGTGATTGGCCCAAAGTCACCCAGCTAGCTTTTGTGCCTAAGGCAGAACTAGAACTCAGCATCTCCTGGTGATTGACCCAAAGTCATTGTGCTGATTTTCATGCCTGAGGTAGAACTAGAACTCACTGTATCCTGGTGATTGACCCAAAGTCACCCAGCCAGCTTTCATGCCAAAGGTAGAACTAGAACTCACAGTTACCTGGTGATTGACCCAAAGTCATTGTGCTTATTTTCATGCCTGAGGTAGAACTAGAACTCACTATCTCCTGGTGATTGGCCCAAAGTCATTATGCTGATTTTCATGCGAAAGGCAGAGCTCACCGTCTCCTGGTTTCTAAGCCTAGTCTCCTCACCTAATCCTAAAATGACAAATATGATTCTCATTGATTTTATGGTGAGGAAGTTAAAAATTGATGTTCTGACAATTTTTTTTTCTTTTTCAAATTAACTGTGGGAAGATTATAAATGCCTACATTCTCTATTAATTCTTGAGAAATTAGATCTTCTAATGCTTTCTCTTTCTTTCCACCCGGTTTAGCCGGAGATGTATTCTACGCTGCCCTACCTGGATTACCTGTCCATTGAAGAATGCATGAATGAACATTCGGAAGGAGAAGATGACCAGTATTATCTCGCCATGGGATTCATTGAAGAAGAGCCATCTAAAGAGGTTGATGCTGAAGAAGTCTATCTGAGCGCTTTTGATGATCTCAGCCCCATAGCTAGCAAACTAGAACACCTTCAGCAATCAGATGCAGGTCAAACTCTTCGCATCCCCTCTCCCAAACTCACTGTGGAAGACCAGATCTCCAAGGTGGCTACAGAAACCTTGGTTGAAAACCCAAAGAACTCACACTTACCTGAACCTAGCCTGGAACCTCAACAAGGGGATGAGGAGGTTACAACTAGGTCAACTTGTGAATTAGTCATAACCAAGGACCTGGATCCAAAATTAGCTAAGTCACCTGAAGTGGAACTGGGTGCCAGAAGCAACCCCAATGAAATGGAAAGCCCCCTGACTGACAAAGCTGAGGTAGAACCCATTTTTTCAATGTTGCAAATCAAAGATGCAAATGTTGGGAGTGAAGTTGGTCTCTTGGTCCCCAAAACTGGATGCCCTGAAGAAGTCACTTTCCAAAATTCTCTGGATTCAGAAGCTGGGGGAAGAAATGCTGAGGACGGTAAGGTAGAACCCATTATTTCATCATTGCAGATAGAAGATAGAAACGGAGTGGATTTCTTTGTCCCAAAAACTGGATGCCTTGAAAAAGTTGCCGGCCAAACACCTCAGGATCCAGAGTCTGAAAACCAACCAATCAAAACAAGTGTTGAAGAGAAGTGGCAATCTCAGAGCCCACCTGAAAGTGAACAGATTCCCCATATTCCTTGCAGCATGAGAGTAGAACTTCTTCCAGAGGTGGTTGGAAGATCCAACAAACCCTTAGGTAATACCCTTGTGCTTCAAGAGACGGGAGAAATGCCCCATGGAGATGTTGCACAAACTGCTTCATCTATGGAGCAACTCAACATACTTCAAAGTCTGATTCCTTCTCTACTGGACAATAATTCTGAGAATGTAAGCTTCCCAGTACCGAATTCAGAGCATACATCTTATTATTATTATTCTTTCCCTGCCTCTTTGTCTGATAGTTGCATGGACTCTGAAGATTTCTCCCTCACAGCCTCTTCTCCAAAACCTTGCCTGGAAAATCTTCTGCAGAAATCTCAGCTTGGATTGCCAGTGGAAGCTTCATATGCTCCAAAACATGACTTCTTGGATGGAAGGGTTGAGATGAAGTTGACATCTACCATGCCCCGAATTCAGCAAGTGAAATCATTCCCGGTGGTGCCCCCGAAGCCTCAATTCGCTAAGGTGCCTCCTGCCTTAAAGCCAGTGATTCCCAGCAAGGAATGTCTCGCCACTGTTCCGCTGAAGACCTGTGAGAACGGGACCAAGCAGGAATTCATCCAAAGCTCTTTGAAAAGGCCTTTCCACCTGACCAGCTCTGACCAGACCAAAAACAGCAACCAAAAGGCAGAACATTCCCCAGCATCTCCTAGCCTGTCCAGCTCTTCTGAGAATTGTTACGGCCATTCAGAAGTCCTTCCAAAGCAACGCAACTCCTTGCCTGTGAGCTTGGATATGTTCAGCAAGGACCATAAGAACATGGAGGACAACACCCCAAAGCCGCCTCCGGTTTCACAGGACAAATGCTTTTCGTGGTCCAAGAGTGGAGAAACGGGAGGCAGCAGCCTTCATTTCACGAAGGGCAGTTTGGAGAAACAGAACAGCAGCCAACACGACGAAGGGAAGGGACATCTCTATGGAGCAGAGAGGTCCACCAAAGAGGCCTTGGAGAGCGGCACTCCTCAGAAGCAGCGCTGGACCAACTGGCACTGTCGTGGAAGCATGTCATTCGATGAGGCTGTGGCCCTCGCCAAGGATAAGCATGTGCCCCAGGCTCCCATGCGGAGAATGCAAACCTATTCCTACGGTGACATGGACGGTTCACACGGATCCTTCAAAATGGAGAAGACTTCTACTCCCCACAAGCCTGTTCTGAGGTCTCCTCAAAGGCCGCTGAGTTGCATGAGCCCAGCTGGGCCTTCGGAAGCTCACCTTTCGGGAAAGATGCCTTGTTCTCCAGGGTTGCCTGACAACATCCCCAAAGGTGTGCCCACCCCGAGACTGGAAGGCTCCAATTCTTACTCTCAGGACTTCCCTCCGAGGAGTAGAGTGAGCTTATCCAAGATAGGGCGGCGTTTGTCCGTGTCTGATGAAGCATGCTTTGGATTGTCCCATGAGCGGAGATGACTGGTTGGCCCCAACTAGTCCTACCGTGGGGCCACTTTGGGCCACCCTGAATTGGTGGGGGCTCCCACCATGATATACTCCTTAGAACCTGAAGCTCAGATCAAGGCAGAGATCTGTCTAACTCAGCCTTTCTCAAGCTGGGGTCCAAACAGTGTCTCTTTCTAAACCAGGGATCTCCAACCTTGGCAATTTTAAGACTTGTGGACTTCTACTCCTAGAATTTTGTTCTAAGCAAACAAAAATACTATGATAATAATGGTTCAAAGGAAAAGAGAATACAAAGGTCAAATTTATCTTTTGCTGGTTTTTAAAATATTCACAAATCCTGATATATTAAGAGCATTATAAAGAGCCCAGACAGGTTCTTCCCATTTAGTGACTATCTTGTTTACTGACCATTTGCAATAACAAGAAGTAACAGGTGGAAATTTATCAGAGAAGCAGCTTAGAACTAAGGAAGAATTTCCTGAGAATGAGGACAATTAATCAGTGGAACGGCTTCCCTCCAGAAGTTGTGGGAGTTTCATCCCTGGAGGCTTTTAGAAGAGACTGGAACTGGACGGCCATTCCAGAAGGATGGTATGGGGTCTCCTGAGTGTACAGAGGGGATTGGAGTATGAGATCTCTCAGATCCCTCCCAGCCCTACGATTCTATGATTCTAAGTTGCTTTGCATTGATGACTTTTATTGAAAAGCAGAAGAATGCTGAAGTCAGATCACAAGCACAGTTGAAGATTCACGTAGCGAATCTTGCATTTAATGACTGAGTTGTGGGTCCCAATTGTGATTGCTAAACAAGGGCTACCTGCATATAATTTCAAATTCAGATGGGCCGAGGGGAGGAGAGAGATTAAGGCTCAGAAAGTGTGCACCCTAATCAAAACAACTGCAAGGAGAAAAAATGCCCAAGAAATTCTTTTTTCCTCCTTTGATGAGAAAGCAGTTCAAATGCTTCACAGATTGCAGGTATCTGCGACACAAAGGTCTTCAGCATCAGACTGGGAAAAGAAATTTCCTTTCCAAGTGTTGGAAGGATCCAACATTTCTGACTCTTTTGTTTTCTGTTTTGGTGGATAAACCAGCCTTTTTTGTTTATGCAAAACAAGTTGAGCGTTGACTGGGTTCTCATCACCCAAGGCCCCAGATAAACTGTCTTGTGGCACAATGTGATCATGTGATACACAAAATATATTAAGAGCTGAGCCACAATGAGCCAAGTAGCATAAACTCAGTTATGTTCAGCACGTCTCGTTTAAATACAGCGAAGTTCTTAAAATAATTTTAAAAACAGGAAAGAAAACAGGTATGAAATCTTGCTGTCGAATTTCAGTGTTATGAAACTGATGAGGTTTGGGGATGCAAAGATAAACTACATTTGTGCTGTAGTAGAGCAGTATTTTTCAAACATGTCAACTTTGAGAATGGATGGATTTCAACTCCCAGAATTCCCTAGCCATCATGCTTTTAAGATGCATGGACTTCAACTTGCAGAATTCTGGGAGTTGAAGTCCAATATCTTAATGTTCTCAACATTAGAAACACTGTCTGTTGTATAGATCCAATGTGGTTTAAATGTGGCTTTGGCAGTTTATTTGGTTGCAATGTACTATATTTAAATAGAAAAGACCATGGATTGCACATATCAAGATACCTATTTGAGTGGAAATTAAGTGTGTAGTCTAAAAGGGTCGAATATCTTGTTATGAAGCAAGAGAACTGTCTGGCAAAAAGTTGGGAGTCTGATTGCTCCTCTTGCAAGTTATTAGTTATTAAAGTTATTGACTTTCAAGAAGAGACTGGAACTGCTGTCTGTCAGAAATGGTGGTCTCCTGCTTGGGCAGGGGGTTGGACTAGATGACCTACCAGATCCCTTCCAACTCTGCTATTCTGTTACTCTAAGGATCTGATAGCATAACTCACATATATTGGATGCATATTTCTTTGCATTATTTTCATGTAGACAGATACTAACAAGAATGGTAATCTGTGTGCTTAGACAAACTACAAACAGATCCTCTCATGTCCTGTTAAAGAGCTTTAAAACTGGAAACTAAATGTCTGTGGAAATTCTCAGTCATCGAGATCATGGTTTTCCAAAAGCCAACTGGACTTCTTTGGTTTTCTTCCTTTGAAAACATTTCACTTCTCATCTAAGAAGGCGAAGAAAGCAAAACATTTCCAGTAATTGGAATGCTTGATTACATGTTTATTTTACACATTTATTACATGGACGATCCAGTCCAAACCGGCAGCAGCCCACCAGTGGGTAGAGGGCTAATCCTATTATGTTCTGAGGGTGAAGGTCTTTTGTGTTGTAGATAAGCTGGCCCAGCCTTTTGCCTTTTAGATAGGTTGGCAGCAGAGGTGGTATTCAGTTGGTTCTTTTAATATTTCCTGGGATATTTCATTCTTCTAGGAGAGGGGTGGGTGCTAACTTTGTATAGCAGTTAAACTAATTCTTTTGAATCCATCCTTATGCCCCACTAATTCTACCTTGTTCTATTGTTATTACGTCCCTTCAACCAGGGGTGGGATATGACAGGGTTAACTACTGGTTAGGGATTTACGAGCTTCCCTGCACACTGTGAGCCGCCTGCCTGTAAATCGTTATCAGCATGCTGTGTGCAGACACAGCCCTCTTTTAACTGCAGCTGTGCCTCGTTTGGCAGCTGAAGTTGAAAAATCAGGAAATAAAGATCAGGTAAGAGCCCAGGTGGGCGGGTGGGCAAAAACATCAGCAGACATAGAATCGGTTCTATGTCTGCTGCTCTTCAGAGCTACCGGTTCTTCAGAGGTGCACAGAACCGGTAGAAACCCACCCCTGCCTTCAGCAGATAAAATTATGTGTGTATTACAACTCCTAAAATCCATGCCTGAGAGCAGTATTTTTCAAACCTGGCAACTTTGAAACGGGCGGTTTCAACTCGCAACATTCCCCAGCCAGCATTGCTTGCTGGGGAATTCTGGGAGTAGAAGTGGCTGAGATTTATAAGCTCTGTATTAGAATGACTGTTAAATTCAGGGATGTTGACGTTTGAGGCCCATAATTCCCACTGAGATGGGGGGGGATGCTGGGGGGGAGGAATTATGGGGGTTGTAATCTAGAGTTGCATCCACCCACAGGCAGAAGGAATGATACTTCTAATTTCCAGGGACAATTGCAGAATAATGTCCACAATTGGCAATGTAAAGATAGCAGCACGCCGCTGGAGTTTTTACTTGGGCGCCTTCACAAAGAAAGGCGACCCCAAAACTGCCCACTGGATGAAGTAGATTGACCGGAAGTGGGCAACTAAAGGCAGAAGCCAACGCCCTTTTCCAACATGGCGCCCAAGCAGTGCATATATATTGAACGGCTCCCTAGGAGGGCACTAACTGGAAGTCACGTGTGCGCTTCCGCCTTCGTTTCCAAAGCGCTATGTCTCATTGTACGAGATGCAAAATCTTTAAAAGCACCACTCATAGACCCAGGACGCTCCTTCCCCAAGCGCCCTCTCGCCTGGCCGCTCTTTCAAAGTCAAGGTGGAGGCGCCGAGGCCTACCTCTCCCTCGTTCTCTCTCAATGTAACTCCTCAAAATGGCCGCCACCGGAAACGCCGACCATCCCAGCTCCTAGCTTCCGGCGCCCGGTGAGGAGAGGCGGCCGGGGGTGGGGCTTGCCTGTTGGGTGGCTTCCGCTCCCCCGTCGGGCCCCCTTGGCGGTGAGGGAAGAAGGCGGAAGTTGCGGGGAGAGTCGGGCGTTCGCGGTGCGCGCATGCGCCGATCTTCATGGAGAGCCGAGGGGCTCCGAGGGACGGAGGGCGGCCCAGGTGAGGACGGCGCCCCCCAGGCGAGGCGGGGCTGGGTTCGTGGGTGCCCCCGGTGGCCTTCCGCTTCCCTCAGCAACCCGACTCTTTGTCCGGAGGTCCCCGCGGCCTTTCCCGGGTTGGCTCTTCGGGGCGGGCTTCCCAAGGCAAGGAGGCGAAGGCCGCGCCCACCCCTCAAGGAGACAAGGAGGGGGTAAGGCTGGGGTGTCCCACCCCGGGCTTGGGGTCCCCATTGAGGCCCGGCGGGGCGATGGGGAAGCTGCTGCCCACCCGGGGCTTCCTTAGAAGACAGAACCGCGAAGGGAGCCTTGGAGGTCATCTAGTCGGAGCGCCCCCCCCCGGGTTGCTCCCCGACCCCCTGGAGGGTTTTTTGGGGGGGGGGCTCTTGGGCCCTCCTGGGGAGTTGGTGGCACAGCCAGCCAGATGTCCAGGCTGGATCTGGCTGGCCCTTTTGGTCCACCTCTGGAGCCCCCTACCGAGGGGGGGGCTGTTAGATGGGGTCAAAGGTCACTGTCCCAGAATGAAAGCCCTTCCAAGCCAAGCTGCCCTTTTGTCATTGGACAAATGGAGATTCTGTCAATGTTGTTATTATTGATCGTCGCAGTCAGCCAGATGTTCAGGCTGGATTTGGCTTTTTTGTCTACCTGTATCAAGTCATTACTGTTGTTATTAATATTGTAATTATAATTAATATCACTATTATAATTATTACCAGTCAGTGATATTTGTGATGCATCTTTAAATGTTCAGTTGATGTTTATTAATGAATAAAAGAGATCATCATCGCACAGTCAGCCAGATGTTCAGGCTGGGTTGGGCCCTTTTGGTCCATCTCTGGAGCCCCTCCCAAGGGGCAGATGGGCATGTTTGATGGGGTCAAAGGTCATCATCCCAGGATGAAAGCCCTTCCAAGCCAAGCTGCCCTTTTGTAATTGATGGATGGAGATTCTGTCAATGTTATTATCATTGATGCGATGGCACAGCCAGCCAGATGTTCAGGCTGGGTTTGGCATTTTTGTCTGTCTATATTAAGTCATTACTGTGATTATTAATATTGTAATTAATATAATGATAATATCAGTCAGTGATATTTGTGATGCATTTTTAAATGTTCAGTTGACTGAGTTCCATGTTTAGTGAATAAAAGAGATAACTATGATCATTGCACAGTCCGCCAGATATTTAGGATGGGTTTGGCATTTTTGTCTACCTATTGAGTCCTTCCCAAGAACCTGAGAGAGGCAGATGTGGATGTTATGAGGTGTTCAAAATGTCTTCACAGGATGAAAGCTTCTTATTATGGTTGGTCGCACAGTCAGCCAGATGTTTACACTGGTTTGGGCATTTTTGCCCACCTCTGGGGGCCTTCCCAAAGACCTGGGATAGACAGATTCTTTAATATTGAAGGTCTCATCCGCAGGATGTAAGCTGTTCCAAGCACTGGTGCCTTTTGCAATTGACCAAGGAGGATTTTGTCAATACTGATAGTACAGTATTACTGTATATTATTATGGTTCCTTGCAAGGTCAGCCAGATGTTTAAACTGGATTTGGCATTTTTATCTACCTCTCAAGTCCTTCCTAAGCATCTGGGATAGGCCAGATGTTCTTTGATGGTGCTAAAGGACAAAAACTGTTCCAAGTTAAAGCTATCTTTTGCACATTC